CATAATTATCAATCGGCTGCTGCACATGCAGGGCTTTAACCCCTTGGCGCCAAGCGTACGCAAATCACCAGCCCCACTGGACCGGGCATTTTTTGTGGGGGGCGCTAATTTGTGTACCTGTCTTTGTGCTGGGAGTGCACCACGCGGCGCGCTCCCAGCAAAAAGCCTGGGGTGTCAGTGAGAGCCCCTGGTCCCGTTCTAACGATCGGGACCCGAAACTCTTGATTCCAGGTCACATTGCTGTGAAAGCCTCTGATCGGATATCACAGTGATCAGTCACTGTGAACCCACCCCCCTTGTTTTCTCTCTCTGAATAGAGGAGAGAGATACATTGTATCATTATATAATTTATATTATACATTGTATCATTATATACAGTTGTGTTCAAAATAATAGCAGTGTGTTGAAAAAAGTGAATAAAGCTCAAAATCCTTCTAATAGCTTTTATTTCCATCCACACAAATGCATTGGGAACACAACACATTCTATTCCAAATCAAAACATGAAGAAAAATATACCAAATTTGTGTTGTTCCTCTAAAAAAAATTGAAGAAAAGTGAGTATTAGACGGTTCAAAAAAATAGCAGTGTTTGTATTCTTCTTTACAAACAAACTCAAACATTCACTATATAAACTGAGAAATGTTTGAAGATTTTGCTTTCCTTTGAATGACTTCATGAATATTTGGTTGTAGTCGCACTGTTTCTGAGAACTGCTGTACATCTGTGTTGCATGGAGTCACCCAACTTCTGGCCCCTGTGATCAGGTATTCCAGCCCAGGATGATTGGACGACATTCCACAGTTCTCTATTTCTTGGTTTTGCCTCAGAAACTGCATTTTTGATGTTACCCCACAAGTTTTCTATTGGATTAAGATCCGGGGATTGGGCTGGCCACTCCATAACGTCCATCTTGTTGGTCTGGAACCAAGATGTTGCACGTTTACTGGTGTGTTTGGGGTCGTTGTCTTGTTGGAACACCCATTTCAAGGGCATTTCCTCTTCAGCATAAGGCAGCATGACCTCTTCAAGTATTCTGATGTATTCAAACTGATCCATGATCCCTGGTATGCGAAAAATAGGCCCAACACCGTAGTATGAGAAACATCCCCATATCATGATGCTTGCACCACCATGCGTCTTCTAATTGTAACAGTCCTCACAGGGAACGTCACACCTTCTTTGATCTTCCTGGAGCTGATTGTTGGCTGAGTCCGCGCCATTTCGGCTATTCTTCTATCCATTCGAATAGTAGATTTTCTCTTTCTTCCACGTCTTTCAGGTTTTGGTTGCCATTTTAAAGCATTTGCGATCATTTTAGCTGAGCAGCCTATCATTTTCTGCACTTCTTTATAGGTTTTCCCCTCTCCAATCAACTTTTTAATCAAGGTACGCTGTTCTTCTGAACAATGTCTGGAACGACCCATTTTCCTCAGAATTTCAGAGAGAAATGCACTGTAACCAGCATGTACAACATTTGCTGCCTTTCTTCCTTAAATAAGGGCAATAATTGCCACCTGTTTTTCAAAGAACGAATGACCTCACTAATAGAACTCCACATTGCTATTATTGTGAACATGCCCCTTTCAATGAGTGATTCAATGACACAGAATCAGCAGCATGCATGTCATGACTGTTGGGTCTGTGGATTTCTATTACTCTACTACACCTGCTAGTAAATTATTTGCCATGTAGAAATATCATTTCAAAAACTGATTGATCCAGTTAGTGATGTCTGACGGCTATTATTTTCAACACAACTGTACATCATATTATACATTGTATCATTATATATATCATATTATACATTGTATCTCTCTCAGTCTTTTCAGACAGAAAAAAAAAGTGTTTGTATTAGGCTCCAAGTACACAGGACACTTCTAAACGATGGAAACTGACTGCTGGAAAAGGTAGGTTAAAAACGTCTGTTTATCCACATTTCCATACCACGTTTATGAGCGTTTGCATTTAGAAGCGTTTTTTAAAGATAACCTCAGGAGACCTTCCAAAATGCCTAGAATGCACTGAAAAACAGTAAAAAATTAACTATTTCAGACATTTTGAGAGAAATCAGAAGCAGAGAGAGCAGTATGTGTTGAGATTAGCTGTCTTTTTTCTTAGTTTTTTTTTTGTGGTGTTTGGATGTGTTCCGGCTCATTTCTGTGCAGAAATTATTGCAGCAGTGTCAAACATATGTGAAATCTCAAAGTATGGTGTACCGGGGTCCACTAGAGTACCAGAAAAACACTTTGCATTCATTTTTCATGATGAAAAAAGGCTCTGGACAGCATCTGGAAATAGAAGACTTAAAAATTTTTCAAACACAAATGCTTATAAACGCGGTTAGCCACGTTTACAAGTGCTTGAAACGCTGATAAAATCTACTCCTGAACAAAAGTTTTCTGCATTCAAAAAAATGACTGTAAACACAACTGCCTGTAAACGACGATGTGTACATGAGACACATAGGAAAACATTAGGGTGAGTTCAGGGGCTGCTGAAAAAAAAACAACAGCTCCTAAACGTCAGTTTATCAGCTGCAGTGTACATGAGCCCTTAGTCCTCATGCACACTGGACGTTTTTACAGTGGCTGTTTTTGGCTTTTAGCCCTGGTTCACACTGATGCGTTCTGGAATTTGCAGTGTTTTCTGTGCAAATTCCGCACCACATCAGAATTGCACCGTTAATGCGAACCGCTGTGGGTGTGTATGTTAACAACCCGAAAGCGGTACGCAAAAGGCAATGCGATGTGCAGAATTGGATCGCATAGGTGTGAATACCCATGCAATCTGATTCTAGTGAAGACCAAAAAAAAGGGTCCTGCACGTTTTTTGGTGCGGCTCGCGGTGTGAGCCGCACCAAAAAAATGTATGGCTCCAATTACACAACACACAAATCGCATGTGATCTGCACAGGAATGTACTGCGGTTCCTGTGAGAATCACATGCGATATACCGCACCGCATGTATGTGAACTCAGGCTTAGTATTTTTTTTTCTACAGCCAGTAAACCCCCCAGCATGTTATCCTATGTGTCCATGTACACATAGACTGGAATCAGCGTTTGTTGGCTGGAAACCCCCCCCCAGGACTAGGGTTTCTACAGGAGTTTTTTTTTTTTTTTTTTAGCTGTAAGGCTAGGTTCACATCTGTGCGGGTGGTGCCACTGAGGATCCGCAAGAAAATCCGTTCAGCCGCACCACCCGTACAGAAAATGCGGACCCGTGGGCAGGTGCTATTAGTTCTAATGGCATGCTGCCCGCACTGGAAAACGCAGCCGTACGAGGTTCCCGTGTGGGCTGCGTTTTCAGAAGTGCAGGGACTTCTCTGTGTGTCACAGGGCACGGGAGTCCATTCAAATGAATAGGCTCTCGTGCCTGCGCAAAACGCACGGCCGCATATATGTGAACCAGGGCTAAATGAGGCTCCATGCCCAGGGAGTGTTTTAATAATAATGGTAACATTAGCTGTGTAAAGTCACACGTTTTTCAGCATTATTGCATTAGCATTTAGCTGTGTTTTGCAGAGTTTTTTTGCATTTGCATTTTTTAGCCTTTATTTTTTTTTTTTACTAAAAACGCCAGTTTGCAGCATTTTGCCGCGTTTTTCAGCATTAGAGCGTTTTTACAGCTAAAAAAATTCTTCTAGAAACCCACTAGTTTTGGGGGTTTTTCTCCATCCAAAAAACATTCCCAGCCATAAATCGCTGATTAAAACCTATATGTACATGGACACATAGGATAACATGCTGGGGGGTTTACTGGCTGTAGAAAAAAAACAACCAAAAACCAAAAACAGCCGCTGTAAATCGCGGCAAACCAGTGCTTTTGGATTTTTTTGGAGAAAAATGTTATTTTTGTGAAAAAAAAAAACAAACACAAAAATGCAAACGTGGGAAAAAAGCAGCAAAACGTGGCTAAATGCTAAAAAAACAATGCTGAAAAAACTTAGGTTTTGAACGTGACTTTACACAGCGAACGCTACCAGCATTATTAAAATGATTTATACAGCGCCAACAGTTTGCGCAGCACTTTACAAAATGAAGGCGGACATGACAGTGACAATACAATTTGGTACAAGAGGACATGGAGGGCCCAGCTTGTTAGAGCTGACAATCTAGTAAAAATAAATAAAAATACCAAGATCAAGGTTGGATCTAGGTCAGTGCCAGGGTTAGTGTTTGGGTCAAGGTCAGCATTTTTTTTTTTGTCAGGTTTTTTTTTATTTTTTTTATTTTTTTTTTAAATTAGTATCAGTTAGTGGCAATAATATATATATATATCTTTTTTTTTTCTATTTTGTTTCTGGGCTGTACTACGGCTACGGGTATAAACAACAACACCACACATATGTGGTATCGTCGCAATTGTCAAGAACAAGAGAAATGATTTTGGGTTGTTCTTTGGTGGTAGGTTATGGTAATAGCAAGAAATATACAGCTACATTAAAAAATATATATATTTATTTATACGATTTTGGGCTGGTTTTCCTTTGATAATATAAAATAAAATCAGGAGATATCCATTACCATTTACCACCAAATGAAAGTCCTATTGGTCCAGAAAAAAAAATAATGTGGTATAATCCACCTGGATGCACAAAGTCGTTGAGACGATATGTATGGTTTTGTCAAAGTTGCAAAATTGTACTTGGGCGTTAAGATTTGTTCTATTCTTAGGTGTGAAGGAGTTAATGAGGAAAGTGGCAGGGTCTGCATCCCATTAGATGTTGTTTCCCTACTGCATCCATTGAGTTGACATGACAGCCAACCAACTAGCATTTATAAAGGCAAAGACAGCACGGGTAACCTCCATATTTTCTTAGTACGTTTCCTACACAGCGCAGGCAGAGCCTCAGTCACCAGTGGCAGTTCACACGGCAAATTCTGCTGGAAAGCGGCCATGAGAGGTATGGGCAACATGCCCACAGTCAAGAAGTCCGTCTCTCTACACTCCCCGCTCCTGACATCACTTCCGTTGGTCTCTGAGCCCTATAGGCAACTCAGTATCAATAAAGTTTTTTCCTGGTCGCGGTGCACGTCGGGTAGGTCATACAGTGTGCGGGTTTCCATGTGTTGGCGCCGGTGACAGTGAGGAGAGAAGAGCCGAGCACCATGTACCCCGCCGCCCCCGCTGCTGCCTGAGAGCGAGGAGCGCCGCCTCCGGCCTGTGCAGGTACCTGCAGGAGAGAGGAGGGAAGGGAGGTTGGAAGGTCATCACTGCTCTGTTCATGGAGGGGTCAGGTGACCCTGAGGAGCAGGAGGGGGGGAGGAGGAGTCCTTCAGTGATTGGGGGGTTGTATCATATCTCATAATATACAAATCTCTCCACACCCCAATATTCCATCACCAGGTGTGACCCCCACAATGTACTCCTGGCCCCTCCCACTCATCCCTTCCATATATGATGTATTCATCCTTTATATACAGCTGACCTAAAGTGCCCCCCCCCCCACAATGTCTATACACCCCCCCCCCCACTTACTGCAATGTCTATATAACTCCCCCCCACTTCCTACAATGTCTATACACCCCCCACACTTCCTACAATGTCTATACACCCCCCCACACTTCCTACAATGTCTATACACCCCCCCCCCCACTTCCTACAATGTCTATACACCCCCCCCCCACTTCCTACAATGTCTATACACCCCCCCCCCCACTTCCTACAATGTCTATACACCCCCCCCCCCACACTTCCTACAATGTCTATACACCCCCCCACACTTCCTACAATGTCTATACACCCCCCCCACACTTCCTACAATGTCTATACACCCCCCCCCCCCTTCCTACAATGTCTATACACCCCCCCCCCCCCACTTCCTACAATGTCTATACACCCCCCACACTTCCTACAATGTCTATACCCCCCCCCCCCCCCACTTCCTACAATGTCTATACACCCCCCCCACTTCCTACAATGTCTATACACCCCCCCCCCCCACTTCCTACAATGTCTATACACCCCCCCCCCCCACTTCCTACAATGTCTATACACCCCCCCACACTTCCTACAATGTCTATACACCCCCCCCCACTTCCTACAATGTCTATACAACCCCCCCCCACTTCCTACAATGTCTATACACCCCCCCCCCCTTCCTACAATGTCTATACACCCCCCCCCACTTCCTACAATGTCTAAACACCCCCCCCCCCACTTCCTACAATGTCTATACACCCCCCCCCACTTCCTACAATGTCTATACACCCCCCCCACTTCCTACAATGTCTATACACCCCCCCCCCACTTCCTACAATGTCTATACACCCCCCCCCCCCCCACTTCCTACAATGTTTTATCCCCCCCCCCACTTCCTACAATGTTTTATCCCCCCCCCCACTTCCTACAATGTTTTATCCCCCCCCCCCACTTCCTACAATGTTTTATACCCCCCCCCCCCCCCCACTTCCTACAATGTTGTATACCCCCCCCCACTTCCTACGATGTCTATGCACCCCCCCCCCCCCCACTTCCTACGATGTCTATGCACCCCCCCCACTTCCTACGATGTCTATGCACCCCCCCCACTTCCTACGATGTCTATGCACCCCCCCCACTTTCCTACAATGTCTATGCACCCCCCCCCCCACTTCCTACAATGTCTATGCAACCCCCCCCACTTCCTACAATGTCTATGCCCCCCCCCACTTCCTACAATGTCTATGCCCCCCCCCCACTTCCTACAATGTCTATGCAAACCCCCCCCCCACTTCCTACAATGTCTATGCACCCCCCCCCTCTTCCTACAATGTCTATATAACTCCCATCCCCTACAGGCTGATGTATGCTTCTCCTTGAATGTCTATATACCCCCCACAACCTTAAGTATGTTTATGTACCTCCCCCCTTCTAGAATGCCTATGTAGCCCCCATCTCCTCCTAGAACACCTATGAACTCCATCCCCACCTTCCTAGAATCTCTATATAACCCCATCCCCCCACAACCTTATAGAACGTTTATGCACCCCCTCCCAATCCACCTTCCAGAAGTCCGATGTAGCCCCCCCATATCCCCCACCCCCCTTCCAGAATGCCTATATAGCCCCATCTCCCCTTCCAGAATGCTTATGTACCATCTCTATGCTGATGACACACAAATCTATCTGTCTCCTCCTCACCTCACCCCTTCAGTCTCCTCCTCACCTCACCCCTTCAGTCTCCTCCTCACCTCACCCCTTCAGTCTCCTCCTCACCTCACCCCTTCAGTCTCCTCCTCACCTCACCCCTTCAGTCTCCTCCTCACCTCACCCCTTCAGTCTCCTCTCGCATTACTAACCTACTAAGTGACATATCAGCATGGATGTCACTCCACTTCCTCAAACTCAATCTTTCCACAACTGAGCTCTTAGTATTCCCCCCAGCCCGTGCCCCCCCCCCCCGACAAGATCAGTAATACAACCATCAGTCCCTCCCCTCATGCCAGGGTACAAGGTGTAATCCTAGACTCCCATCTGTCCTTTCAGCCCCAAATCCAATCGCTGTCCAAATCTTCTAGACTTCACCTCCGCAACATCTCCAAGATATGACCGTTCCTAACCTCGGAAACCACTAAGCAACTTATTCACTCCCTTGTTATCTCTCGCCATGACTATTGTAACTCCCTCCTCATTGGCCGACCTCATCGCAGGCTATCCCCTCTTCAGTCTATCATGAATGCTGCTGCCAGACTCATCCACCTTACTGACTGTTCTGTATCTGCCATCCCTCTCTGCCAATCCCTCCACTGACCTCTACTCAGTGTCCTCCACCCCTCTCTGCCAATCCCTCCACTGGCCTCCACTCAGTGTCCTCCACCCCTCTCTGCCAATCGCTCCACTGGCCTCCACTCAGTGTCCTCCACCCCTCTCTGCCAATCCCTCCACTGGCCTCCACTCAGTGTCCTCCACCCCTCTCTGCCAATCCCTCCACTGGCCTCTGCTCAGTGTCCTCCATCCCTCTCTGCCAATCCCTCCACTGGCCTCCGCTCAGTGTCCTCTACCCCTCTCTGCCAATCCCTCCACTGGCCCCCACTCAGTATCCTCCACCCCTCTCTGCCAATCCCTCCACTGGCCCCCACTCAGTATCCTCCACCCCTCTCTGCCAATCCCTCCACTGGCCTCCACTCAGTATCCTCCATCCCTCTCTGCCAATCCCTCCACTGGCCTCCACTCAGTATCCTCCATCCCTCTCTGCCAATCCCTCCACTGGCCTCCACTCAGTATCCTCCATCCCTCTCTGCCAATCCCTCCACTGGCTTCCCATTGCCCAACGGATAAAATTTAAAACAATACCAATGACATATAAAGCCATTTATAACTCTGTCCCAAATTACATCAACGATCTTGTCTCCAAATATCACCCAAACCGTACTCTCCACTCCTCGCAAGACCTCCTGCTCTCTTTCTCCCTTGTCTCCTCCTCCCATGCTTGTCTCCAGGACTTTTCCAGAGCTTCCCCCATCCTCTGGAACTCTCTACCCCAATTTATTAGACTATCGCCTACTCTGCTCACTTTTAGGCGATCTCTGAAAACCTATCTCTTCAGGGAAGCCTATCCTGCCCTCATCTAATAATGGAATCTTCTACTACTCCTACCACTCCATCCCCCACAGTTACTACCTTTTGTACCACTAGCCCCTCCCTCCTAGATTGTAAGCTCCCAGGATCAGGGCCCTCCTAACCCTCTTGTATTGAACTATATTGTTGCTGTATTGTCTCCCGTTATATTGTAAAGCGCTGAGCAAACTGTTGCCGCCATAAATCCTGTATAATAATAATAATACTGCATGTGATTGCCCTTTATTTTAATAGTAACAACAAAGGTAATATTACACTGTTCTTCTTCTATGTACGTCAGCATATCCAATATATTGGTTGCATTGTACAGGTTAGAGTCTTCTGCAGTGAGGCATTTACGGATGTCTTGTGCACTAAGGAACGACCCTTTACCCTCACCGGATTTGGACAGCGCACCCAAACAATACCCGCCCAAAATCCATCAGCTAGTCGACCAAATCGCATCCCTTACTCTGTTAGAAGTGTCCGACCTCAATGAGCTGCTAAAGGTAAGTGAATACACCGGGGTCTTGTATACTGCCGGTCAAATACAAACAATCACAAATTTGTATTTTTTTGCCTTTACTTAAACCCTCGATCGTTATGTATTGTCTGAAAGAGGCCCTGAAGAATCAAAAGATGGCAGTTGCAACTTTTTGTGCCGTACAATATTTGTGCACCTGCAATACGACGAAAAAAAAATTACCGTACTCAAAATTATCAGTGCCTTTTTATGTTGCTGAGCTCACCAGTGCGTTCTTCTTTCCTCAGAATGTACAAAACTGTTGATCTGGCCACTCCTAATGTTGCTGCAATCTCTCTGATGGATTTGTTTCATTTTTGAAGCCTTACAATGGCCTATTTCTCTTCCGTGGACAGCTCCTTCGAATGCATGATGTAGGTTCACAGCAATAAATTCTAAATGCAAATACCAAACTTAGAATCAACTCCAGACCTTTTACCTGCTTAATTGATTAAGAAATAATGGAGTAGCCTACACCTGGCCATGAAACAGCTTTTGATTCCATTGTCCAATTACTTTTGGTCCCTTGAAAAAGGGGGGGTGGCTACTCTTAAAAGCTGTAATTCCTAAACCCTTCCTTCAATTTGGATTACCCTCAAATTAAACCAGAGAGTGTGCACTTTCAGCCCATATCCATTATATAACTATAACTTGAATATGTTTTGGTCAATACCTGAAAAAAACTAAAACTGTGCGTGTGTACAAATATAATAATAATAATAATATATATGGACCTAACTGTACATGTTGTGTTCTAAAATCCAAATCCGGTAATATAATGTACGTTCAGTAGGTGTCACTGTTGTTCTAGCTATGCTTCCAATGCACTTACTGCAAACCAATGAAATAGTGCAATGTGCTTACAAGTACTGGGACACAGTTTAGTTTGTAGAAAAGCAAAAAATGTTGTTTTTTTTTTTTCAGAACATGCTGTTTTCAGCCTTCTTCACATGGGCATACTTAACCTCCCTGGCGGTATTCCCGAGTGTAGCTCGGGGTAAAGTTTCAGTACCAAAAGCGGTAACCCCGAGCTACACTTGGGCTTACCATGCGGCGCTACTCCGGGATCCCTCGATCACTTACCTTGTCCTGCGCTCCCGCGATGTCCCTCCTGCAATGTCCCCGGCAATTTAATCCGGCAGATGCCGGCATCTGTGATCTGAGTTCCGTCCCGGCAGATGCCGGCATCTGTGATCTGAGTTCCATCTCCTGTGAGCGTCGGGACGTACGGGGGACGGAACGGCAGGAAATTTGAAAATGACAAAAAGTGACATTCACTAAATACACTAAAATCACATAGTAAAACATTCCTGTATCAAACCATTTCACATACATTTTGTCCCGAGTGCTTTGTCCGGCGCCCTGCCTGCATTTTTACTGTTCTTTCTGCCTGGAAACTGAGAAACGTCCATGGCGTCCAAAAAGTGTCCCTTTAGGGCAAAATTGGTTTTAGACCGGCTAGAGAACAGCGATCGCAAATCAGAACCACTTGCAGAATTGAGTGATAATGATTCGTGGGGGAAATTCCTCATCAGACACTGAAAACGATTTTGCGACTTTGCTCAGTGATGTGCGAACTTGGCGCTCTATTTCAAATTTCAGTGTTTTTGGTTTGATTATATTATTGAATTAAATTTATTATTATTATATTATTATTTTTTATGATTATTTATTAAATTATAATTTATGATCTCGTGTTTCAAATTTTATCCTACCCGGGATATTTACTAGACTCTTGTTTGGACAGATTTCAGTGAGTTATTCCTAAAAATGACAGGCCTACAATAAAAAAAAATACATATTTCCATGGAAAAAAATTTACCGCTTTGAGCACAGAAATATGGACATAATCAGACTGCTAGGGAGGTTAAGTGTAGGGCCGTATTTACACCCACAGGGATGCTCCATGCAACCGCATACAGGCAGTCCCATTGATTTCATATGAGACCCATTGGCTACAGGGACTCAGCCACTGACAGCTGTGCGGGTGCATGCTGATGATGCCATGCAGCTGTGAAGTCGGGAGCAGCTGCTGTCTGTGCAATCACTACATCCCAATTGACATGAAGGAGACTGCCTGCACGCACAGGGCTGCATGAAACACCTGTGCATCCCCATGTGGGCAAACACGGCCCTGACACAGACGTAAACTTAAGTATGTCCATGTGAATGAGGCCTTAGGAATGTCATGCTTGTTACAGAAAATAATAGGGAAGTAATATAAGTGAGCGCTCCTGAGGAAGTAGCCACTAGCACCAAGCCGAGGTGACACACCAACCTTACAAAACAACACTGGAAAAAGAATAGTACTGTAGAGGAAGATGAAAGAGCGCGCACAAACCTTGCGCATTGCCTCAATAAATAGTGACTAATTTTATTAATAAGGAAATATACTCACAAAGTGATGGTATAACAGGCATAAGTAACCATAATCCAAACAGGGTTGGAACTGCTGTAATACTGACACTCAGTGGCTGAATATCTCCTTGCCATGGGAACTCTGCCATACTGAAGTCTCTATCTTCTCAACCCAGCTCTGATGAAGAAGGGAGCACCCTTGGAAACGCGTTAGCCTTCATCCCCCCCCCCTTTTCGATTTATCTGTAACCCTGTTTGGATTATGGTTACCTATGCCTGTTATACAATCATTTTCTGAGTATATTTCCTTATTAATAAAATTAGTCACTATTTATTGAGGTAATGCGCAAGGTTTGTGCACTCTTTCTTTCATCTTCCTCTACAGTTTTATTAAGCTTCCCCAGCTTCATGATAGAGCTGCACAACCTCTGATCACCAGCGGATGAACACACAACACGCTGCTTGTCACTAACGCCTGTTTGATCTGAGTCTTTGAGCGCAGGAGATAATGGATCTTTGGAGAAAAAGAATAGTACAGCTCTTACAATAAACATCCCTGTAACAAAAACTTAAAATGTTACCTGTAAATAAACAATCATTATTCTAGTGCAAAAAAATGAAAAAGAGAAGGAATAGGGACACCTCCAATGTAATTAGCGTGACAATTTCCACATAGATCAGTATATCATAAATGAATAATACAATAATTATAAAGAATCAATCGATAGTGCTACAATATACGTGTGTCCAATCCGTACAGTAGGCGTATCCCCTGAAGACTCGCATGCGCACAAAATGTGTTGGGAGAGGCCTTATGTGCTAATGTCACGCCGCTGCTTCCGGAACTCAAATTGGAGGCAATTTTAATAAGTCCAGACTGATTGTTTGATATCGCCACGTGGTTATTTTAATTGATCTGTACTAGTTGTATTATTATTATACAGGATTTATATAGCGCCAACAGTTTGTTCAGCACTGTACAATATAAATTATAATGAGATACTAAACTATATACCTTCGTCTGGGCTCCGTGGCGTGAGCTCTTTCCATTCAGGGTACTTGATTGGCGTCCAGGGACTTGAATGCTGAGGAGAGCACTTGGGATATAGAGGCGGCCAGGGGCTTGAATGTTGAGGAGAGTACCTGGGATATATAGCATTGGCTATAATATATGTCTTTGCATTTTAGATCCCTGGTGCATAAGTGCATAGAGGTGGAGGATTGCACACTGCTGGTGACAAGGTGGAGAAGTGTTTTTGCACTTTGGGACTTGCTCATCTGGATATACACTATCCGGATTGGACACTATACTGTAGCACTGTTGATTCTTTGTAGTTACTGTATTATTAATTTATCCATTTATGATATGTGCAGCATTATATTTTTTTGATATATATTTCTTTGAATTATATATGGTTTATATATTTTTGGAGCATACCACATTTAATTTAATCGTATATTAGTGGAGCGTGACACGTTTTTGTATTTTGAGCCTGCAGTGACACTGCCAAGAGCCAGGGTGAAATACTTCTGAGCCAGGTTAGAAGCAGCTGAAACTCAGAATGATATAAATCTGCTTAAGGTTGGAGGCTATCCTTCTGCTTTTTTTAATTTCTATTATCCCCAGAGACAGGGACTTATACCCCGGAGATCTGCTCTGTATCCCATAGTCCACTTATTGCAAAAATTTTTATAAATTCAACAAAATTAATGTAATAAAAAAATGTAGCACAGGGCAGCACAGTGGCTAAATGGTTAGCACTTCCGCCTGGCAGTACTAGAGTCATTGGTTCAAATTCCAGCCATGGCAGCACCTGCCTGGAGTTTGCATGTTCTCCCTGTGTCTGTGCGGGTTTCCTCTGGCTACTCTGGTTTCCTCCCACACTCCAAAGACATGCTGGTAGGTGAATTGGCTCCTGTCTAAATTGTCCCTAGTATGTGTATGTATGAATGTGAGTTAGGGACCTTAGATTGTACACCCCTTGAGGGTTAGGGACTGATGTGAATGTACAATATATACATATATGTAAAGCGCTGCTTAAATTGATGGCGCTATATCAGTACCTGAAATAAATGGATAAATATACTGGTCTATGTGGAACATGTCACACTAATTACATTGGAGGTGTTCCTTTTCCTTCTGTTTTTCCTTTTTTTTTTTTTTGCACTAGTATAATGATTGGTGTTTATTTACAGGTAAAATTTATGTTTATGGCAGAGGGATATTTATTTTAAGTGCTGCACTATTCTTTTTCCAGTGTTACAGAAAATGTTTCCACAACTGGTCTGGTGTAATTTTATATATATATTTATATATATATATATATATTTTTTTTTTTTTTTTTTTTTTATCAATTTAGAAAACGCTGAAGATTCAGGATGTTGGTATGATGTCGATGGGCATGATGCCAAGAGCAATGGGTGCAGCATCTACCCAGGTAAACCTTTTAATTTATTGGCAGTTAAAAACAGACAATTGTAATTTAAAGATATATATATATATATATAAGCTAATGTACAACATTGCCTACAATAAAGAGACCTCCTATGAAATTCTGGTAAATTGTTCCTCAGTTCTGAGATTTTGTGATTTTCTGGGCTATGGTATTCTGTGGTGGGGAGGCTCATTTGGAGATTCCTCTTTAGTAAAGAGGAGCACCTGCTCCCATGTGAATACAGTTGTGCTTTCAGATTTACTTCTGGCAGAATTTGTGCAATGTTGGTCATTTCTACTGCACTAACACCACAAAACAGCACACTTGCAGTACACAAAACTGCACCTAGAGAAGCCTAAAAACTTCTGTTTAAAATGAGATGAATTGAACTTTGTCACAGCCATAAACACGTATTTGAAAAAGTCAAGGTGTATGAAAAGAAGCACATCATCCCTACTGTGAAGCATGCAGGTGAATCGATGCTGTTTTTGGGGTGTGCACAGTAAATTTAGTCAACATTGTTGGCAAGATGAGTAGAGCATTTTGTCAAAAAAAATGGAGCAAAATGTGCAGTCATCAGCCTAGTATCTGCCAAAGGGACATACTTGGGATTTCCAGCATGACAATGAAAGTCCAGTTCAAAGCCAAAAAAAAAATTGGCAGCTGCTCCAATTCTCCCTCCTGTCTTTGCAGCTGTACTGGGACAGACTAGCACGATTCGAATTGATCAGCACCATCCCAAAGCATCTCTCTGATCTGCCCTGGAAGCACTGCACAGAGAAAGGGGGGGGGGGGGGGTGTATGCCATTCATTCATCTTTTATAGACAAAATGTACAGGTGAACTTGAACGAACACTTTAAAGGTCTAGGGACCCAGCAGAGCACAGTGGCAGCTGATGTGCCCTCACGCCATAAGGTCAGTTCGACCCTTCAGTGGCTGCAGCAAAAAAAAAAAATTGTGAAGGTTCTGGAGTGGCCATCACAAGGTCCTGGCCTCAACATCATTGAGCCACTTTGGGGAGCTCTTATGAAATTCATGCTAGGCCACCAAGGAATTTGCAGGACCTGGAAGCTTTTTGCCAAAAGGAATGGGCAGCTTTACCATATGAGACAATAAAGGGCCTCATTCACAACTCACAAAAGAGTGCATGTCTTCATTGATTCTAAAGAGGGCAATACTATTAAGAACTGAGGGAAGGCAAATCTTTGAACAGTATTACTTTATTAAAGGATAAGTTCACCTATATTATTATAATACAGGATTTATATAACACCAACCTTTTGCGCAGCGCTTTACAAAATGAAGGTAGACATTACAGTTACAATACAATTTGGTACAAGAGGAAACCGAGGACCCTGCTCGTTAGAGCTTACAATCTAGGAGGACCTTTAGGACCATATTTAGGGTGTAACATGCTCCTATGCACCTGCCGCCAGTGCTCCCCCTCTTTGACAGCAGGCGGGGCATCTTCTCCCTGTACCCACTGTCACTTTTTGAAAACAGCATGGCTACACCCATACAGCCATGTCATTCATTCACAGAATTCTGTGAATGAAGAAACTACAGGTCCCGTCTGCCACTGCAGCACACGTACATGTAGTTTGAATAGGCTGTAAGTGTGCTGCTGAGCAAACTCGTACTTGATTCCCTCTTCTAGCTTTGTAACTGAAAGCCACATGCACATTTTTTTTTTTACCTGCGAAAATGTGTTTTTTTTTTTTTTTTTGCTTTTTTAATTAATTACATTTATTTTTGAAAGGTGAACTTATGTTTTATTATATTCTGGGATCCCTTAAAAAAAATAAATTTTTGGTCTGATCACTCCATGTTTATTCAATAAATGGTCCACACTGTGCAGATTCTGCTAGGGTCAGGGGCGGACTGACCATTGGGAAACTCGGGCACTGCCCGAGGGCCCGGGTCAGTAGGGGGCCCCATGAGATGCCCCTGGTACCTTTTTTCATAGGCTTTTTTGAGTTTGGGCAAGGACCCAGGGGCCCCATGATCCCCTATTGCCCGGGGGCCCCATGAGTTGTCAGTCCGCCCCTGGCTAGGGGTATATAAAGTTATGAGCACAACTGTCCCTGACTTTAGGTCATTCTATCGCACATATCTGAGATGCTGTTGTCATTCTGCAGTGGATGGAGTGAGGTCTGATTTTGGTTTTGTTTTGCTGTGCTCAGGTTGAGGAGGAAGAGGATGTACCGGTCAAGAAAGAAAAGACACATTTCACTGTAAAACTGACGGAGATGAATGCTGTAGACAAAGTGAAACTCATCAAAGAAGTGAAGAATTGTGTACAGGGGGTGAATTTGGTGCAGGTAAGATTATCTCTACTAAATGTGATCATGACATTGCTACAGCCCATGGTCTAATCTCAGGCACTTTATCATTGCTGCTTTACTATAGCTTGATTTTACTAGTCTCCTACGTGATCACTCTCGATTTAAAAGAGAAATTCGGAGTTAAAGAAAATAAAAATATATGCTTACCTAGGTGGATGCAGGATCGGTCTGATATTGCATCAGTCCCCCACTGCTTCTAAGACCGAGCAGTCACATGACCACTGATCGCTCAGTTTTTGGTCTATCGGTCACCGGCTCTCTGCTTCGCCCCTCCAGCACTCACAGGATTGCCAGGCTGAGGGTCTGAGAGTCTGAGCCATCTGCCCCTCCGGCATCTGGTTGGATCCCCCGGCATCAGAGTTTGGAACGGCTGAGTGATGTCAGCTGACAGTGGACTTCATCCTGCTGTTGGCTGAATACGGGTCACAGGAGTGCAGAACTAATCTATCTCTCAACCCCCCACCTCACCCCCTCGGTCTCCGCCCGAATCACACACCTACTGAGCGACATATCAGACTGGATGTCGCTCCACTTCCTTAAACTGAACCTCTCCAAAACCGAGTTTCTTGTCTTCCCCCAGCCCCAGCCCCGACACCACCCCCCCCATTGACTTCTCCATCACATCCAACAACGCCACCATCAAACCCGCCCCGCAGGCCAGAGTACTTGGTGTCATTCTGGACTCCAACCTATCCTTCCAGCCCCAAGTCCAATCTTTAACAAACTCGTGCAGACTCCACCTCCGCAACATCGCCAAAATCCGCCCGTTCCTAACCCCAGAAACCACTAAACCGCTCATCCACTCCCTCATCATATCACGACTAGACTACTGCAACTCCCTCCTCACTGGCCTGCCTCGCCGCTGGCTATCCCCCCTTCAGTCCATCCTGAATACGGCTGCCAGACTCATTCACCTTTCCAACCGCTCCGTTTCCGCCACCCCCCTCTGCCAATCCCTCCACTGGCTTCCGGTTGCGCAACGGATCAAATTCAAAATCCTAACGCTGACGTACAAAGCTGTCCACCATACTGCCCCGAACTACATCACTGACCTAATATCCAAATACCACCCAGCATACACACTCCGCTCCTCACAAGACCTCCTTCTCTCTAGTTCCCTGGTCTCCTCCTCCCATGCCCGTCTCCAGGACTTCTCCAGGGTGTCACCCATCCTCTGGAACTCCCTGCCCCAACCCATCAGATTATCACCTACTCTCCTCTCCTTTAGGCGCACCCTGAAAACCCATCTCTTCAGGGAAGCCTACCCCACCCCCTGCTAACTTGCCGACCTCCTCCACTCTTCCTACCACTCCATCCCCCACAGCTATCTCCTCCTGTACCACCATCCCCTCCCTCCTAGATTGTAAGCTCGAAAGAGCAGGGCCCTCAATCCCCTCATGTTTTGCATTGTATTGGTATTGTTCTGTCACATGTTCTGTCCCCCTTTGTAATGTACAGCGCTGAGCGAACTATTGGCGCTTTATAAATGCTGTATAATAATAATAATAAATAACTAAGTGCACTCCAGGGGCAGACTGACCATTTGGAAACTCTGGCACTGCCCGGGGTGAGTAGGGGGCCCCATGAGATGCCCCTGGTACCTTTTTCATAGGCTTTTTTTGAGTTTGGGCAAGGACACAGGGGCCCTATGATCCCCTATTGCCCGGGGGCCCCATGAGTTGTCAGTCCACCCCTGGTGCACTCTAGTGACCCTCAGGAGAAGTATGTCCAAAATAGCTTTGGCCATACTTCTCCCATAAGGGCCTGTGTTGACGAGCTTTTGTTCACTTCAAGCGGGTTTTGTATTAAAATAATATAAGTGAAAAAATGCTGCGCTATATATACAAAATTCCTATAGAAAACCAAAAACACAGACCAGTGAAATATACAGAAAAAGAGATATGTGACCCAAACAAATAATAATTAAAAAACAGTTGAATAATTATTAAACAAAGTCCAATCAATTACATTTTCTGTAGCCCTCCTTGAGATAATGTCCACCTTGTGCAGCTGTCACAAAACTCCAGTGCAAAACATCCTCCACCATAAAACTGCTCACCTCCAGCAGTGTGACCTCACATTATACAGTGTTTTGGTCTAACTGCACTTTTGGTCCCATATGGACTCTGTAGATCAACTTGCTGAATAATGGCTCCCAGGATGCCCCCTCCACATATTCGCCTTAATGTCAGCTGTATAGCTCATAAACAAAAGCTCAACATAGTGCTTTATCCTTTAAAAACTTTTATTGCACAATAAACATAAGAAATGCGCTCACATGCAGCAGGTGCATACCGCACCAGGTATGATGAACATCCAGTAATGTACTAAGTATGCACATGATGGCAGTATCATGCCCAGCAGCATAGATCCATCATGGCTCCAAAACTTCGCTGCACAATGTGTAATGCAAGGCAAAGCACGGGCCCGATGTATATAGGTAATTGCCTCCAGATATGACAATCCTGGAGCGTTGAATGGATTACTACCTTAGATTGTACGCCCCTTGAGGGTTAGGGACTGATGTGAATGTACAATATATATGTAAAGCTCTCTGTAAATTGACGGCGCTATATAAGTACCTGAAATAAATAAATAAATATTACCGCTGTTTCGATGAATGGTAACGTCATGACGTCATCCGCACGGGTTTTGCATTACCATGCAAGTCTTTGGGAATGCAAAACCCGCATAAGGCACTATAAACCTACCTACCCGTACCTTGCAGGATGCACCAGGATGAAATTTTGCATTGATAGTGTAGTTTCATAGCTTCATGGTGTCATTGGTTGCCCTGTAAGCACAGCCTCTAGTAATGTCAATCTTTACATTCCGGTGTCAGAAAGTTGTTGTCTCTGTTCAGACGTGAGGCATGGCCCTGTACATTTTAATGAATGACCTCTGTCTGTAGTCTAAGAACTGACATTTCCTGTGAAGAAACTATATATCCTACAATCCTTGGGTCTCCAAGTCTAGCAGTGGTGCAGGCGAGCTCTAAACAGTTATTAGATCTGACAAGCAGAGCAATTAACAGAGATCACCATGCTGGAAGAGATGTGTTTTCATCATATTAACACTCCCACATGTGTGATCCAACACAGAAGAAATGGACTAAATGCTGTGCTACCTGGAACGGGAAGTTGCCTGCCCCTTTAGCAAACAAGGACAAGCTAGGTGAATGAGTACATGAACATAGGATAATTGGTCAGCCATAACACTATAAACTGCAGCCACAACATGTGAGCCCATCATTACAAGGTAAGGCAAGCAAATTACATGGTATATAATTACACTAAAATATAGTTAAAACAACTAAAACATTTAGAAGTATACAATGCCTTTATAGTGGAGGGCCAGGGATAGCGGGTTAACTTTTCCAAGCCTGATACTTAACCTTCAGCTCGATGCCGGGGGGAATCATTGGATGATGGAAGTTTAGACCGTTCAGAATGTTGATTTCTGCAGTAACATTGCAGCCCTATCTACTGGATATGGCTACTGCAGCCATCAAAGTGTGATCTTACATTTCCTGCTAGATTTGACTAGCAAAAATTAATAACACCTATATGTTGCAGGAGCAGGAAGACTCCTGGCCACCCCGGTGTATTTCTCTGCTTGAGCTCCGAGAGCTAAAACGCAATGTTGTTAATCTGCATGTCACGCTGTCATAATTTAAAAAGAGCGTGGCCATTTGGGGCTCCACCAATGGGGCCACATCATTACTCATTCATAGAAAAATTAGCTTAAAAATACCAACAGCATATGGCTGGAGGCATGTAGTTTTCAATTATATACAAGGGTGTTGGTGAGCATCCTCGTAGTTCATTGATTCTTCCAGGACTAAAGTAACTGCCTGTCTGTATTGGAGGTATGGGCAGACAGTTACACTGGCAGTCTGCAGGAGCCTGACATTGCACCTGCGGTCTGCAGGAGCCTGACATTGCACCTGCGGTCTGCAGGAGCCTGACATTGCACCTGCGGTCTGCAGGAGCCTGACATTGCACCTGCGGTCTGCAGGAGCCTGACATTGCACCTGCGGTCTGCAGGAGCCTGACATTGCACCTGCGGTCTGCAGGAGCCTGACATTGCACCTGCGGTCTGCAGGAGCCTGACATTGCACCTGCGGTCTGCAGGAGCCTGACATTGCACCTGCGGTCTGCAGGAGCCTGACATTGCACCTGCGGTCTGCAGGAGCCTAACATTGCACCTGCAGTCTGCAGGAACCTGACATTGCACCTGCAGTCTGCTGATCAGAGGTGCAATGCTTTACAGGCTCCTGTGAAAAAAAAGTAAATGCCCATTTATTTACCTGCAGAAGTGTGTTTTATTTTTTTAAACGGTGAACTTATGCTTTAATGCCACTCTTAATGCATTATTTACTCAGGATACACAATCATTTAGTACTGTATGTAGTTATTACATGTAAAAAGTTTCATAAAAAGAAAAAATGATTTGATTTTAAAAAAAAAAGTGCAGCACTAGGCAAACCTTTTAGTTTTGGAGATTTCCCTAACTTCCTTTTCCGGTGATAACTTTGGGAAGACCTGCAATGGGGGACATGGAGACCATGCGAGATGGGCTAGAACCCCAGTCATCTCTTTATTACTGAGAATTGGGTACTCTTCCTCTCATTTGTCAATGGGACAGGAGAAATAGGGGGTCCCACGCTGTCCACAACAGGATAAACAAATTTTAGCCGGAGATGGGTTTTTGTGTTAACTGCCATGCTAATTGTAGGAAAATAGGGGGCACACTGGTGCCTGCTATCTTAGTGCTGCCAATACCTGTAGAAAATCAAATACTGGTTTTATATGGGTTACTGCTTTCTGCCTAATGATAAAAAGCAAGTAAGTCTTGCTTCACACCCCATTCCTGTTCAACTGTTCAGCCCGTTTTTATTTTGAATGGGCTCAAATGGCACTGCATCGCACAATGCACTGCAACCGTGCGTGAAGAAGGCAAATGCCGTGCATATGTGACTTCATCAACTTAAAGTGGTTGCAAACCTCAGACATGAAATGTGAACAAAGAATATCCCTCTATACTATGTACTTGTCTCAACCCAGACCCCTAAGTGTCATTTGTCTGATGCTTCCTTCCTCTATCTTCTGACAAGTTTTCCTGACACCAAGAGAAAAAATGGTGACGGAGGGGACCTCCAGCAGATTGATAGCCTCAGCTCTGTTCTTGTGTGAAGGGAGGTGTATTCCTTCCCTCCAATGAACTCTCACTGAGCCCACAATGTGTAATTTCAGCTCTCTGCTCCCTTTTTTCTGAACTCTCGGACCATCTTTATTCAGCACTTTGAACAGCTGTAGAGAAGAGAATGCTGTAGAGAAACAGGTACAACTTATGTAGGATTTGTTTAATCTTTGTGTATCACATGAGAAAAGTCACTTCACTGGGTATATGTAAGGGTTTACAACCACCTTATTGTTGACACATAGAAATATAGAAGAGTGATGGAAGAAAAAACCAAGTGGTCCATTGAGTCTGCCTGTTTTCTTCTTTTTTTGAGTGCGATGCGGGACACACGCATGCAACATGGGTTTCCTGCAGTGCGTTCTACTGTGAACGTACCCTAAAGACATCATGGGTACAGTTGGCACCTTTTTTTAGTAAAAGCATGACTAGTCTTTGGCCTGATCCTGATAGAAGTTATGAAGTAGTTGCTGTGTTCAAAACTTATTTTTTAATTCATCATTTTTCTGAACAGGCCAAGAAGATGGTGGAGTCTCTTCCACAAGAGATCAAGGCCAACGTTGCCAAGGAAGAAGCGGAAAAGATAAAGGCTGCGCTGGAAGCTGCAGGAGGGAAGGTGGTGCTGGAGTGATGCACCTGGACTCTTTATGACAGTTAAATCGGATGACACTTTGGGGTCGTCTTCCACAAGTCTCCGCTCTACAGGCCAAGCAATGGCAGGGCTCAGAAATAGAATGTACTCTTGTGTCTAAGCCATTCAAATGTGTGGGAGCGCCACCCAAGGCCTTCACCTCATACTCCCTATGGGGATGTGCCCATCTATGTACAGGCTGGGTGGGGTACAACTTTTGTTATTTTTCTTCCCTCTGTGTACGTTGACCTCTGAAGCACTTCAATGTGTAATCAATAGTTTAATGTTTCGTTATCTAATCTTGTTTTATACATTAAACTCTTACCTTGAGGCCGCTCCTTTTTTTTATTTTCCTGGCATCATTTCATTAATCTCCCTTTTAGATATACAACTTCTATAATCGATATCCTTGAACAGAGAAGTGGTAGTGCTGAGAATTGTCGATACTTTCCCACATAGAAGAAAAATATATTGAAATATATTTTAAAAATATTCTTCCCAAATATATTGTCGTATATTTGAAATGCTACAATTTTGGCCCTATTCAATATATTTCAATAAATATATATATACTGCATGTTTAAATGCTTTATTACAAAATATCTGAAAAATATTTTTAAAATACACTTCAAATATACTGTATGTCTTTAAAAATACAAATCTACATTTTTGGAATGCATTTACAAATATATGTAAAAATATATGTTAAAATGACTTTTTAGATATTAAAAAAAAATATGAATATTTTTAAAAATATTTTTTTTAAATATTCAGACAAATTTCATTTGGGTGCAGCGTTGCATGACCGCTCAATTGTCAGCTAATGGCTTGGGTCAGGAAGGGGGGTAAATCTTCTGGAGGGCAAGTGGTTAAAGGGATGACAGGGCATGTGTGCTTTATAAATGTTGTGCTTTATAAATGTTTAGTAAGAGCAATCTACAAACAGATACTTTCAGATAATTGCAAGTTTTTATTCTTTGCACGCCTTATTTTTCTTTTCCTCCCTATTTGCACAATGACCATTTTCATTATGAAGGCGCTGGTGATATAGCCTACCCAGGATCCATCTGGGATGCCAGGGCTACATCACCAGTGCCTGGAAAAGCAAGAATTGTAAGTAAAGGCAAAAAATGTTTAATAATAGTAAGATCTTTTATATCAACAGGCATAGCTGCACACTGATGTGATTTTTAGTAAAAGGTCTGCTCTACCCCCACACCCCCTTTTTGCGGCTTTAACAGCCTCCACGGTATTTTGAAAGTCTGTTTATGAGGATATGCGATATAAAGGAAAGAAACAATGCTGCGGGCCACACACCGTACGGTACAGGCTAGGGAGAACCCTTCCTCGCTCAATGCATGCAGTGTATAAGAAACAATGGCGAGTGCTGCACATCATCAGGACCCGACAGTCACTATAGTAGAAGCCGCCTCGGCCTGACTTCTTTCAAGCCACGCCCTTCAAAGTGTTACACCCCCACCTTGGGGCTTAGTCATGGGGGGGGGGGGGTGAAACGTGTTGGGAACGTGGCCTGGACAGAGGAGCTGAGGCTGATTCTGCTACAGTGACTGTCAGGTCCTGATGATGTGCAGCACTCGCCATTGTTTCTTATACACTGCATGCATTGAGCGAGGAAGGGTTCTCCCTAGCCTGTACCGTCAGCGTGAGTCACAGGACTGGGATACATAGGAGCCTCGGGGGGCACCACTAGTTTGTTCAGTGTGGGAATTTTTGATTATTCAAAAAGAACATTGGTGAAGTCAGGTACACGTTGGCTATGAACGTCTGGCTTACAATTAGTGATGCAATTCAACACAAAGGTGTTCAGTAGGGTTGGAAAAAAAAAAAATCGAGCTTCTGCCACAGCACTGATATTCAGACTCTTGCGTGGCAATAACTAGCCAGAAGTATAATGTGAAGTAAAAAAAAAATGCTGCGCTACATGAAACAATGGCACAATCCATTATATAACCAAAAAACAAAGTGTAAAAATATATATGTATTAGAAGAAAAATTATTAATATTGAAATAAAAAAAAAAACAGAATATTTTTAAGTATGAATCAAACAAAAGTCATTAAAAAAATCAAGTTCAATCAATAAAGTGTTCATTCAATAAACCTTCCTTTTGGATAACAAAAAATATGTGCATCTGTCATCAATTCCCGTGCAAAAGACATCCTCCACCATATATCTGCTCACCTCAGGCAGTGTGACCGCACATTATACAATGTTACGGTCTAACTGCACTTTTGGTCCCATATGGACTCAGTAGATCAGCTTGCTGAATGAGGACTCCAAAGTAAGCTCCCTCCTGATAAGCATCTTTGTATCAGCCGTATTCCTCATTAAGAAGAATTCAACAGAGTGCTTTATTCTTTTAAATTTTTATTCATCAATTAAAACATAAGAAATGCACTCATGTTCCGGAGGTCTATTTTTCACCAGGTATGATGAAGATCCAGTGATGTACTGATTAAACACTAGATGGCAGTATCATCTCAGCAGCAGAGTCCTGCACATGCTCAAAACAGACACCATCCGTAATGTAATGCAAGGCAAAGCACGGGCCCACTTAATGAATGCTATTTCCTGCTGTAATGTCGTTCCAAGAGCCGATTGTAGAGTACTACAAGCCGCTATCCCATGAATGGCAACATTCCCTTGATAGTCACGTGACTAGTGACGAAATGCGTCGGAAGGAGTGTGCGGATGACATCACAATGTTGACATTCATTGGGATAGTGGTTGTAGTACTCTACAAATGGCTCTTGGAACGACATTACAGCAGGCAATAGCATTCATTAAGTGGGCCCGTGCTTTGCCTTGCAATACATTACGGATGGGGTCTGTTTTGAGCATGTGCAGGACTCTGCTGCTGAGATGATACTGCCATCTAGTGTTTAATCAGTATATCACTGGATCTTCATCATACCTGGTGAAAAATAGACCTCCAGAACATGAGTGCATTTCTTATGTTTTAATTGATGAATAAAAGGATAAAGCACTATGTTGAGTTCTTTTTAATGAGGAATATGCTGATAAAAAGATGCTTATCAGGAGGCACATCCCTTTTTGGAGTCTTCATTCAGCAAGCTGATCTTCTGAGTCCAAATGGGACCAAAAGTGCAGTTAGACCGTAACATTGTATAATGTGAGTAGATATATGGTGGAGGATGTCTTTACATGAGAATTGATGACAGTTGCACATATTTTTCGTTATTCAAAGGAGGGTTCACTGAATGAACACTTTATTGATTGAACTTAATCTTTTGAATGACTCTTGTTTGATTCATAGTTAAAAGTGTGTGTGTGTGTGTGTTTTTTTTCTTCTAATAAAAATATATATTTTTTCACTTTTTTGGTTATATGGATTGTGCCATTGTTCCATACAGCGCAGCATTTTTTTCACTTCACATTATGATTGTATAATTTGCCTCACTGAGACATGGGTTGTGTGCACTAGCGGCTACAGTATTTAATTGTAATTTTTTATTTCAAAATAGTTAGCGCTTGAGTTATTTAATTTATTTTAACTAGCCATAAGTAATAAAAAAATTAGTACTAGTATGCTAAGGGGGAATAAAAATGTAACAAATTAGCCCAATTCTAACCCCTGGTTCACATCTGTGTGGGTGGTGCCGCTGCGGATCCGCACGAAAATCCGTGAAGCCACACAGAGGAATGCGGACCTGCAGGTGGGTGCCATTAATTCTAATGGCACGCCACCCGCACTGGAAATCACAACTATACTGGGAACCGAGGTTCCCATGTGGGCTGCGTTTTCTGAAGAAATGCAGGGACTTCTTCCCTGCGTGTTCCAGAGCACGGGAGTCCATTCAAATGAATGGGCTCTCGTGCCCGTGCAAAACGAGACCTGCAGGAACGCAGAGATGTGATCCTGGCCTTACTGTTTGTGTGTTACTACCACTGCCCACTGTGGGATAAGTCCTTGCTCTATATACCTCTGTACTCTACAGGTGCCTTCACAATGGCTTCAGCTTGTGTAAGAGAGCAGTGTGTAGAGCAAGCTGGTTTTTGTTTTGGTTTTTTTTCATGTTTACAGTGAGCAGTTTTATTGAAACCATAAAAATTCTTTAGCTCCAGTTTGGAAATATTAAATACAAATCTTAATGGGAGTGTTGTCACTTTAGCCACTTCTTGTCCGGCCCATGTACATAAACGCAGCGGGTTGCCATTTATAAATGGCATCAGCATTCACTGCCTGCTCCCTGGGAGCGCGTAGAACCTCGATCCGGTGCCCACTGTGTCCGAACACCGATTGCTGCATGGGACCTCTGTGTGAGGTCCCGATCATGTGATCACTGATTGGCAGTAAACAAGATGTCACTTCCTGACATCATTCTTTACTATGTGTGAAATCTGTGAATGATCACAGAGACCACATGGTACAAGGCTAGTCACAACAGCCTTGTACCATGTGACAAGCTGTGGCCAGTCACAGCTCACATAGTATTTCTCAATGGCTGCAGGAATGAAGCCAGAAGAGAAATGATTGCTTTTATAGCCTTTATGGGTGTAAAAGCAATCAGTGTAAAAAAAGAAAAAAAAAATCTTCATCACGTACTGCTAGGGTGACAGTATGTTAAAAAAAAAATGAATAATATAAAAATGTAAAAAAAAAAAATGTAAATTATAATTTCTGGTTATAAACTAATTTGGGTTATTATTTTTTTTTTTAACTAAAAAGATAGCTGAATACATTTTGGCCAATATTTATGAAGAAAGATTATTTATTTGCAAAATTGTATAAGAAAAACACTTTTTTTTCACAATTTTTGGACTTTTTCATTTATATACCAAAAAAAAAAAATTCCAGTGGTGAATTAATACCACCAAAATAAAGTTTTATCTGTCTAAAAAAAATGCTAAAAAATTAATATGGGTACAGTGTTGACTGACTGCACAATTGTCATTCAAATTGTGTTAGCGCTGAAAGCTGAAAATTGCCCTGGACAGGAAGGGGGTGAAAGTGTCCGG